TTTCTTTTCATTTTCTTTTATTTTATTTGATTGTAGTTTTGTTTTTATTAGCTTTTAGTTTAGTTAATTTATTTGTTTTATTTAGTTTTATTTCTTTTAAGTTTCTTTCTTTTATTTTTTTTTTATTTAACTTGTAACATGGGCACGGGCCGTGCCCGTGCCGCCGCGGGCCATGTCTGGCCGTGTCGGGGTGGGGGCCGTGTCGTGCCGGCTCCGCGGCGGGTCGTGCCGTGCCGTGCCTGAATTTGGCACACCCCAGCCCACGGCACGCACGGCACGGCCCACGTGCCTTGCAGGCCGTATCGTGCCGGGCCGCGGGCCAAACTGTGCCAGCTTTTTTTTTTTTTTTTTTTTTTTTTAATAAATGAAAAAAAAAACGAATTAAACGATATATATTTTTTTAGTACAACTTAATATATGTGATTAATTTATGTTTATGTTAAATGTTAATGTTAATATATTTTGTTTTCATTTTTTGAACAACTTTATTTTAATTTAGGTTATATAAATTATTTATCTAATTAATAATTATGTTTAAGTTTATTTAAACAAATAAAAACAATTTTATTAATTTAGCAAAAAACAACAATGCATATAATAAAAAAAAATACGAGTGCGATAATCCGAAAACACAAAAAATTGAAGAATAACTTATTTTATTATATGACGGTAGCCGGTACGAATGTACGATAATTCAATAATACAAAATAAGTAATGATAATTAAAAATCGTACAATAGTGTATGAATATTGAATAACTTCATTTATTATACGGAATACGAAGTTCGATAATACAAAAAGAATACAATAGTGTATAATGTAAATATGTAATCATGTAATTATTATTGGTCGTCTTCGTCTTCATCTTCGTCTTCGTCTTCGTCTTCTAGAGGTTCAAGTTCATCCGCCAATTGAGTTGATTGAGAAGTATGAGAACTAAAAGAAGTCGACGTTCCTTCATCGTTGTCGTTTTGTGCATAAGTACGATCTTGAGAACGAGTTTCGGCATCCAACCAATCCTTGAAGCAAACACACATTTCAAGTGTTTCGGGTTTTAGTCTTGTTCTTCTATCGTCTAAAACTCGTCCCAACGCACTAAAATCTCTTTCGGAGGCAACGGAGGAGACTTGGATTGCAAAAATATCACGAGCCATTGCCGACAAAATTGGATGTTTCACGGTTTGTGATTTCCACCAATCGAGGATGTCGAGGCCAAACTTCTCTTCATCGTCCATGCCTTTCATGAAGTCGTAACTTAAGTACATTTGCAACTCCGAAACATCGCTTTGTGTTCTCTTACTTGATGATGATTCCGTACCTGAAAACTTGGACATCATGTTAGCAGCTTGTGCAAATAAACCTTTGGCCCGTTTACTTACATTTTTTGATGTTTGAGAAGGGGCAAATCGAGACACGGTTCCATATTTACTTTCATAGGTGGAGTATAAAGAAAAAAAATCATTTGTCACCTTAGTTTTAAAAGCTTCAACATCATCTTCAAAATTCATGTTACTATAATAAATATCAATTAATAAAAAGGTGCCATCATATTTTTTGCCTAGGATCTAAAATAGAAGCAAAAATATAAATCATAGGAATATCGGTGTAATATTTATGCCATTTTTCCTCCATGGATGGAAGATATCCACGATAAACATGCATTACTAAGAAAAGAATGAGAACAAGGATTATATACAGAAGAAAAACAATGTGTCATACCATATAGTAATTGTAAAAACTGCATATATTTTTCACAATTAACCCAATCATCTTCTAGTAAAGCATTTTGTGGAAATTTCATATTATAAAAAAGTGTTAAATGAACCTTGTACTCGATTGCCCGACTCAACATTTCATAGGTGGAGTTCCACCTAGTTGGACAATCCGGTGCTATTTTTATGGTTTTTATCCGTTGTTGCCTGCAAAAACCTTTCCATTCTTGATATCTCATGTTAGAGCTATTAATAGACATAATAGCATTTCTTATTTTGTGATAAAATGGACCAATTGCTTGTGTTCCATCCTTCACACACAAGTTAAGAACATGACAAATGCATCTAACATGAAGTGCATTTCCATCTAATATAACATCGGTCAATTGGTTTTTGACCAAATTCGCACTATATGTCATAGAAGTTGCATTATCAAAAGTCATTGACATGATTTAATCCCTAAGAATATATGCATCAATGGCTTCCATTAAATGATGTGAAATGTTAAGACCGGTATGAGGGTATTCAAGCATTTTGAAATGAATGATGCGTTTTTGTAACATCCACTCATTATCTAACCAATGACAAGTAACACATAAATAGTGGAGTCCGTAACCACCATCCCATGCATCGGCGGTTAAAGAAACTCTACTAAGAAGATTAGCTAATTCATTTACTAATTTCAATTTGTACTCTAGATAACTCTTCATGGCAGCAGATCGAACGGTTTTTCAGGAGATTTTTTTGTGTTTTGGTTGTAGTGCTCGGTTAACATAGTTGTTGAAGGCATCATTTTCGGCGAAAAGAAAAGGTTGTTCTGCATGTACAATCATTCTCCCAAGTTCATCCCTATCTCTCTCGTAATTGTAAATGAAGCCTTGTGGATGGAATTGAGAAATTTTGGGTTGGGTTGGATCACTAGATGGTCCACCACATTTTTTTGTATGTCTATTAAGGTGTCCCGTCCCTCCCTTGGTATCGGCCGAGAAAATTTTACCACAAGTCCGACACTTGGCCTTTTGTCCATTTTTACTTAATTGATAATGTGACCAAACTTCACTCTTTCTTTTGGTTTGAGCAAAATCCTCTTCGGTGCACCACTCTAATATGTTAGGATTTTGGGTGTTGGGCATTTGGGTGGATGGTTCACTCAACCCGCAGAATTGTGTTTGGCTACCTTGGGAAGGAAGAGGAAAAGGAAATTCATGTTGTTGAAATTGGCTTTGTTGAAATTGGGTCGTGCCCGGCCGTGCCACGTGCCGTGCCGCAGGGTCGTGCCAGCGTGCCGGCCCACGTGCCGGCCACCGTGCCGCCCGGCGTGCCACGTGCCGTACCCGTGCCAAATCCCACAATTTTGTTCACAGCACGGCCCACGGCCCACAAGTGGGCCGCCGTGCCGGAGTCGTGCCGGCACGGCCCGTGCCCATGTTTACTTGTATTATAAATACTCCTTTGGGGTTATTTTCTCACTAACTTGTCAATGAAAATTTTATTTTAGATAGATTAGTTTTAGTTTAGCCTTTATTTCTTTCTCTTAGGGTTAGTTTAGGAGTAGTGTAGAGAGAGAAAGCTTGGATTTCCATGGAGTTTTTGAGAGGTTGAAGAAGAAACTTTGTGGAACTTCTTCTCATCTATTCAACGAGCATTTTCTAACTTTCTCTCATCTTTATTTCTTTCTTAATTCTTAGTTTTTTTCTTTTTGTTTATTGATTTGAGTAGATTAATTAGTTTATTTGTGTAGTCTTGTTTTTATTCTTATTTTACCTTGTTTTCCATGTCTTTCTTCATTATGTTAGCTTAGATTTTGTTCTAGGGAAATGGATGAAGGTTATGTTAATAAATTGAATGATTGATTGTGATTAGTATGGAATTGTTTCTTGATTATTGTGTATGGATGATGCTTTTATGGATTAGAATTTTTCTAGCTTAGCTAATTGATTCTATGTTCTTAATTGTGCTTTCAATCGATTGTACGAGAGTGAGTTGGTTGAGAGCCCTGATTTCTTCCATACCTTTGCTAGGCTAGTTGCACGAGAGTGAATTAGTTTAGTAGGATAATTAACATGCTTAATTGTGTGAGAGTGAGTTAAATGTGTTGATTGTTCCTAATCAAGGTCATTTTCATCTAATTGTATGATGTTATTGAATGTATTGATGTAATTGGATTCCACTTTCCCTACTTTAGTTATTTGTTCTTAGTTGTGTTTAGTTGAACCTCTCTCTATCTCACAAGCTTTCCTACTAGTCTAGTTAGCACAAATTGATACACTTAGTCCTTTTGGGTTCGACCCTTTACTTGCCACTAACTAGTTTAGTGTAGGTTTAGGTATTATAAATTTCTAATTTGGTTAGGGTTAGTAGTCCCAACGACCTACTTTTAACCACGATCAATAATAATATGAGTAATATTAATAATAGTAATAGTAATATCAAAATATATATATATATATATATATATATATATATATATTATATATATATATAATAAAACTCAAAGGTAAGAATTATAATTTTGCCATGTGTTGCCAATCTCGCCATGTGTCATTATGACTTGACAAATCATGTGGCACACCATTGACACATCTTATGATATTTCGTAATAAAGTTGCATTTAAATGACTTATTCACGTTCATAAATTCTAAAATTTTAATTGTCAACTTATATGTGTATATTTTAACAACAATATGATTACAAAATTAAATTCGTTTCTCTCAATTACTCATTCACAATTTATATAGGTTATATGTATTTAAAATATGTAACTAAAAAATGCATAGTAATTTTAGAGGTTTACTTTGTTTTTTAAAAAATACATATATGTTTACTTATTTGAAGGAATTATTACGACAAATGAAATTATCTAATACTAATCATAAAATTTATTAGGTTGCTACATATTGAATAATGAATTTTAATGTATACTAAATTAGCAAAAATAACAATTAATATTTTTTTAAAAATAAAACCGCCAATATATTGCACTTTATATTATTATAATTTTTTAGTTACAAACAATGACCGGGGCATCGCCCGAGCCAAAAACTAGTTAATAATTATAATGACAGATTTATCCCCAACCGTATGATTTTGTTCAAGGTAGTTGTGAAACCTTATACGAGTATAAATTTGCCAATTAATTAAATGATGGAAAATTTGGCAATTAATTAAATGATGGAAAATTTGCCAATTAATAATTTCGAATTAGCGTACGGTTCAAGAAATGACATTAATAACATGAAAACCTTAGAAGGAATCAAACCAAATCTTTTAGGCTATATAAACTGTACCATTCAGTGAGGATATACAAACCAATTAAGCTTAGGTAAAACACATTCCTCAACAAAGTTGTTTCATAATCAACTAAACTAACCCTATTCCAGTTCCAGCTAAAAATGGCATCCGCATCAATGAACCCTGCCACAATCCTCGCCATTGGCACTGCTAACCCTCCAAACGTAATGTATCAATCTGATTATCCAGATTACCATTTCCGTACCACAAACAGCGATCATTTGACTGATCTTAAGGCCAAGTTCAAGCGCATATGTATACCCTCTTTCTTTAGTTATTGTTATTAATTAAGTGCTTACTCTTATTATTATTTTGATCTTTTATTCTTTTTCAAAGGTAACATTTAAAATTTACACTATTCACCCACCCTCATGTTGATTGTGTTAATGATTTATAACGTTAGGAAAATATTGTCATGTGGGAAAAATCTCGCTAATCTCATCCCTATTCTCAATTTTGTTTTTACTCTATTTGAAACCATTTTCCAAGCATGTGGAGCTAAGTTGAGAGAGTCAATTTATTTCTCTAAGAAAGAAGTTTATAAAAGTGATTTGTATGCGCGGTTTGCAATGTTGTTTGGTTTCAAAATCTAGAAAAATTACAACCAGTTCCAGGACTAACAAAGTGAAACGGAGGGAGTAACAACTGAATAATAATAATAATATACTTATTGAGACGATCCAACAATTATTGTACCCACAAGAGACAAGACTATATTTTTTCCATTTTGTGAAGAACTACCATATACAAGTCAATTTTTGTGAAAAGCTACCTAGTTAAAAAAAATGTGTAAGAAAGTACCCTTTTTGTTAACGGGTGTATAAAAAGTACCTTACAAATAATAAATGTTGTAAGAAACTTAAATAAATGTTGTAAAAAGCTATCTTTTCCCGAATTATTGCATTGAATAAGAGACGTATAATTACCCATTTTTAATCTTTTTTTTTTCACCTAATTTCTCCATAGCCCCTTCCTAACCCCTAATTTCGTTTCTCTTTCATTGTTAAATTAAGCACATGGTAGCAAATTACAACATTAAGTTTTTATAAGGTGGTTTATTACAACATTTTTTTATAAGGTAGTTTTTCACAAAATTTGATGTATATAAAGTAGTTTTTTCGCAAAAAAAAAAAAAAAAAAAAATTAAAATCTTATGTATAATTCATATACTTATTGAGACGATTCCAAGAATTAATTAATTGTACCCACAAGACTATTACCTCCCTTTGACATAATTTTGTGATTTGTATGTGAAGAAAAATATGGTCAAGTGGAATCTTGTTAGATTCGTTACAATGTGTATTTTCAAAATATCAACATTAATTTTTACTCCTTCCTTCCCTATTTAATAGTCACTTTTGGGCAATTTTTACGGGAGTTAATAAAAATTAATAAGAAGTAGCAAAAATACATTAAAAAGGTAAATTTACATTGAGTATGCAAAAAAGTAGATAGAAAAAGTAATTAAAGTACATGGAAAAACAAAATTTAAGTGGAAAACTTAAATTTGCACAAATATTTTTGCAAATTGAAAAGAATTTTGGTAAAAAAGTAATATTAATGGTACTTGAAAAAAAACAAATGTGACTAACATTTTGGGATAGCAAAAATGGAATAAGTGATTATCAAATAGGGACGAAAGAGTTATAATTTTGCTTATCAGTAATTAAAGATATTAATTATTGAATTTGTATATTGGTAAACTTGATTAAAAAATGTGTTAATTAAAAAGAAATAAGGAAATAATAAATAGTACCAAACTCCCAATAGACCACTTATAAATTAAACAGAGGGATCAAACTCTGTATACCCATACGGCCCATAGCCCTATACCGCCTTATTTAAAAGTTAATAACGCACATTGTCCTAATCTCAAATTGCAAATTGCTACATATGCAGGCGATAAATCTATGATAAGGAAACGTCACTTTTACATGAATGAAGAAATCTTGAAAGAAAATCCTCATTTAGGTGATAATAATGCTTCTTCCATTGGAACTCGTCAAGCTCTGTGTGCTAATGAGATTCCCAAACTTGGGAAAGAGGCTGCTGAGAAGGCCATTAAAGAGTGGGGAAAACCCAAGTCAATGATCACCCATCTTATCTTTGGCACTAACTCGGACTTCGATTTACCTGGGGCCGACTTTCGGCTAGCCAAGCTTCTCGGCCTCCAGCCAACGGTAAAGCGATTTATCCTGCCTCTAGGTGCTTGTCATGCAGGCGGTACAGCCCTTCGTATAGCCAAGGACATTGCTGAGAACAACCGTGGCGCTCGTGTATTGGTTATTTGCTCAGAGAGTACTGCCATTAGTTTCCATGCCCCAAGCGAGACCCACCTAGTGTCACTTGCCATATTTGGAGATGGCGCCGGGGCAATGATTGTGGGTACTGATCCTGATGAGCCTAGTGAGCGACCCCTCTTTCAGCTTGTTTCGGCCGGGCAGATTACATTACCAGATTCAGAAGATGGTATTCAAGCTCGCCTTAGTGAGATTGGTATGACCATTCACTTAAGTCCCGATGTCCCCAAAATTATAGCTAAAAACATCCAAACTTTGTTAAGTGAATCGTTTGATCATATTGGGATTAGTAATTGGAATTCAATTTTTTGGGTTGCTCACCCTGGAGGACCAGCAATATTGGACAAGGTGGAAGCCAAACTTGAACTCGAGACGAGCAAGCTGAGTACTAGTAGGCACATACTAAGTGAGTATGGGAATATGTGGGGTGCAAGTGTGATATTTGTAATGGATGAGATGAGTAAGAGGTCATTGAAAGAGGGCAAATCAACTACTGGAGAAGGATGTGAATGGGGTGTGCTTGTTGCCTTTGGTCCAGGCATTACAGTTGAAACTATCGTTCTTCGTAGTATGCCAATTAATTATTAACTATTTAGCTACGATGACATTTGAATGCATTCGGATATGATAAAATGTATTATTGTGATACATTTTCATCAAATACCTCTTTTGCAATGTTATTTTAGAAAATAAATAATGTATCATAGTTTAAAAGGTGGTACCGCTAATAGCACGCTGCATGTCTATGTCACGTCTATGTTAGAGGGACGTTGTGTATGTTGACTCATATAGTACGCCTCTTTAGTTAACCATTCTATTTGATTTCTTTATTTTTTTAATTAAATGTGACGACGAACGCCTTAATTAACCGTTCTATTTGATTTTAAAATATTAATTTTTTTTTATATATCTAAGCTCATTCTCAACCAGCCGTTCATAGCTTACATGTATTCAAAACTTTCACCTCTTTATCTCTCCTTCTCAGTGTCGGCCCACTTAGAGAGCTCCTCCATGATTCTAATCTAACCCTAAGTCCGATCAACATTATCTCCGTTCCATCACCTTCTCCAATGGCTTGAACCTTTTCAGTATTGCTAGATAAACTTTCTAACTATAAGCAGAAAGATCAATAAAATATAAACAATGCACTTTAAAGGGCAAATGTTTAATGAAATCAAGAAGCCTTATACCAAGTGTTGCCTTGACTTTATACTTGTTCTGTTGTTAGACATTTATAAATGTTGTGTCTTACTTGCATAATAGCTCCTCTCCAAACCAACTTGTTGCACTACGAACTTGTAGTTCGGACCCGCTTGTGCCCGGCTTGAAGTATCGACCGTCACAAGCCTTAACCACCCGCACTCCGTCAACCAGATAGACATGATTACTCTTGATATTTAATTGCCCGCTTGTGTTGCTTTGTGCACACAAGCCCCTCTTCCGCACAAGGCTAGCGTTCTTGTCTCCAAAAGGCTAGAGTGTACCACACATTTCGGGGTCTAAATTCCTAGATCGTGACATTTGGTATTAGAGCCCTGGTCTAATGCTCGTTGTAAGGAACCTGTGAAGGCACCAAGGAGGGCTACACAAAGATGGAATTTATATAAGAAAGACTCGGTTGGCTCGAGAAAATAGCAGATGAGTGGTTCTAGCTCCAAGTCATTGTAAACAAGCAAGCCGAGCAAATTGTGAAAGTTATGGAGGATAGAGATGCTCTTCGTGAACAATTGAACTTTGTTCAAGGATAAGCTTATGAAGCACTTGAGAAAAGTGCTACCCAAATGCGCACAGTGGTCAGTGGGCAGAGACGCAAAGCGGTAATGATCAAACCTCTCGACTACAGTGGCGCTAGAGATGTCAAAGAAGTTGACAATGCAACTTCCTCTTCGATCAACATTGAGCAGTATTTCTGAATATGTCACCCGAGTGACGATTAGAAGGTGGATACTGCCATCATGTACTTATTCGAATATGCTAAGATTTGGTGGTACACCAAGCATGTAGACATCGAAGCAGAAAGAACAAAGATTGATACATTGGTCGGAGTTCAAAGAGGAACTCAGAGAACAATTCTACATGACAACACAAGCTTTGTTTCTCGGATGAAGTTGCAAGAGTGCCATCAAAAGAGATTTGTTCGCGACTTCGTGAAGGATTACTCGGCGATAATGTTGGACATCACCGACATAAATGAAAAAGATCGTGTGTTCAACTTTGTGAATGGGTTAAAAGAATGGGCGCATCTAGAGATTTTAAGGCAGAAATTTGTCACCCTCGTTGCTGCCATGTGTGCTTCTGAGAGATTGATGGACTACTAAGTCAAGAAGTTTCGTCAGTCAGAGAATAATTCAAGTGGGACGTCTACACACTATGATAGCTTGGCTCCAAGCTCTCTATATAGAGAATACTGAGGTCGTCTCTCGAGTATCCTTCAACACCGTTGATACATATCCAAGAAAAAGTGGAGGAGGTGATGCTTAGAAATCCACATCGACCCCCTCCCACAGCTTGGAAAACGTTTGGACTTTTTGTCCTATTAATTTAATTCACTTTAATTAATGTATATGATTTATACATAAGAATCAATAGTATTTGTGGGTACTTATTAGAATTGTCCTAATGAATATTATTAATATTTAATTATTATAAATTTAACTTATTAATAAGTATATATATTATCAGTCAAATAGAAAATAATGTTAGAGGTATTGTGAGGAAAAAAAAAACTAAAAAAAAAACTTACGGCTGTTCAGCTTAATTTAAGTTCATTTCAATTTAGCTCAGCTCAGCTCCAATCAATTCATTTAAATTAAGTTCAGTTTAGTAATTTCCTTTTCTTGTAAACAATTTAATTCAGTTCAATTAACTCTCAATCAGGTCTATTCACTCTCAATTAATTCAATTCAATTTAATTTAGTTTAGTTGTTTTCATTAAATCGGAACATGCCCTTAGCGAAGAAATTAGAGCCTCTTGCTCGTAATAAATTTAGTATCCTATAATTAATGAGAGTAAAAGTCAATCTCCACCTACTAAGCATGTAGTAAAATCCTTTGGATTCCAATATTTTGATTGATAATTACTGCCACATGTCACATAATGATTAGCTTTTGAAAAAATAAAAATCCTTATCCACCATCTCTCGCTTTTCTCCATCCCCACCCCATTCCCCACCTTCCACCACTCACTGCCAAAAACCCATTCATTCTCCACTTTATTTTGAATTTTTTTTTTTTTTTTCCAATATATTTCTCTGTTTTTACTTGCAATTATGTAAGTATTTATGATCTTGATTTCAGCATGCTCTTAAGTCTTGTATACAACTAATTACTAAATTTTGTTTGTTAATTTGAATCTCTTGCTAATCTATTGTATAATGATACTAGCATTTTGGACTAGCTAAAAAGTTTAACCATTTGATTGGGATTTGATGCTATATATAATTGTGTTTGGGCTTTGATCTTATGATGCCTCTTCATTAAGAACCTATAATGTTATGGCTAAAGCTGCATTGTTTTCTTTTTGCCTCTTGTTAAATAGATGGGCTGCGCGGTGGTCAAAAAGAGAATGGGTGGTGAACTGGTGATCGTCGGGTATTGGTCATGTTGATAGCAGAGGAAAGGGGCTAGGCCGAGTAAAATACTTGCTCTATTTTCTTTATAAATGCACTACTTTCTAAATAAGAAAATTTCAAACTTAAAGCAAATTTTGTTTTTTTTTTTTTTTTTTTGTTGTTTAGAGACCAAAGGGCGAGATTGAGAATTGATACTAAAATCTTTTGAAATCGGGAGAAAACTCTAACCATTTGAGCTATCTCTTGTATATCTTTAATATTTATAATATTTGCCTTTTTATTATTATTATTATTATTATTATTATTATTTTAATACGTACGAAACACCTATTATCAATTTATCATACAATACCTAATCTAACATGTCTAATTTAGCTATCTTAAGTGAGGGCGGGACTATAGGATAATGGATGGGAATATATATATTTAGTACTTAGTGTATAGTTATTGATGATTACTCAAGTCATTCTCACACTCTAATCCAAATCTTAGGCTAGAAATTTAAATTAGAATTAAAGTGTATCCGTATTTCTGATTTCCCTCCTATCTTTCCATCTCATTTTCCCGGAACTAAGACACTAAAACTCATTCCAGTTTTCCTCTCTAGCGGATCTTGATTTGATTTAATAAATCATCTTTAACCTTTCAATCCGTCCTTTCCTTCTCCTCATAACACATTTTAATTCCGAAGAGATTTGTTTTTGTACGTAACAAAAATGGTGGTGTTGAGGCTAAGTGTGGTCGTAGTTGTTCTGCTAACATTCGTGCAGTGGTGTGCTTACTCACAATCACCCTCTCAACTTTTCGTGGACATTACGCTGGTAAAAAGTACTACTGCCAAAGATCTTGGAGCATGTAAGTCTTTAATTTACATTAATAACGCTTAAAATTATGTGAGTACTTTATTTTTTGTGACTAAAATTGTGAAATAATTTTTATTATTTGGTTGAAGATTGCTTGGATGGGAGTTTACCTGCATATCATTTCAGCAAAGGATTCGGTTCTGGAACAAACAATTGGCTTTTGCACATTGAGGTAATTCATAAAAAAATGGTACTCTTAAGTCTAAAATAGTGAATTTTGTCAATTTTCCATTAATTAATTATGTGTTAGAGATTTAAGAGTAAAGAGTAATTAGAACAAATTTTAATAATTTGTTTATACAGTAGTTGAAATTTGATACGAGAAACTTTAAGGTGGAAATCCTTACAATGATGAGTTGCTACTTGATTGAGAATAATTATAATTTGCTTCCACATTGAGATCGATAACAAATATTGGATCAGAAATTCAGAATCATACTAAAATGATAATAAATCATGATTTGAATGGTTTTTATATGATTTGCTTGTCTACTAAGAATAACTATATATTATAGGTACTAAAATGGTACAAAATCATAAACATTTGTTGTATTCCATTTGTCCCAGAATAATATTCCCATTTGTCAAATTTCACGGGAATTTAGAAATGAGAGGAAGAAATGTACAAGAAGTATGCGTGAGGCACAAATAACAAGTACATGAAAAAGAAAAAGAAAAAAAAAATACATGAGCATGAGTGAAATTTTATTATGGGATAGAGGAATTAATAATTTGTGTTTTTCTTACGTATTGAGAATAATTAACAATCATGGTGAAAAAATTTGGTAGACTTTAGACTTTTATTTGGGGATTCGGAAATGAAGATTGGAATTAGTAAGAGTATTGGTACTTATTAAGCAAAAATTTGATAGTGTTACTAGCTTTGACAATTGAGATTGGTCACTGTTTAAATGTATATGATGATGTATACATTGATGTTTTGGTAGGGTGGTGGATGGTGCAATGATGTAAAATCTTGCTTGGAGAGGGCTAAAACTCGTCGCGGTTCCTCACACTACATGGCTAAGGGAAGGGTCTTTCCTGGAATATTAAGCAACAAAGATTCCCACAACCCAGGTGAATATTTCTGTATTTTTATTTAACTTAATTGCTTGCTTGCTTGCTTGGTTTATGAGGAATGCTAAGCTTATGCTATGCATTATTGATTAATTTCTGTCCCATGGGACTATATATATTATAAGTATGTACAATATACTCATTGTTAATGGTAAGTTTCCATGAGCTATGGTTGCCTTTGCCTAGTCCGAGATTGAAGGATTGGCCGGGACACTTTGAGGGTGGAGATCTCCTACCTTTCCCCTAATCACATAAGATAATTTTTAAGCATTGTAATCATATTATAATAATAATCCCTATCCAAGCCATGTAAGGTTCCTTGCAAAGTTGCTTGTTGAAAATCCTTCTTCAATTCGACCATGTGTAATATGATCATGCTCCAATTCTACCCATAATGTACATATATATATGCCAGGTTCTTGGAATGAACTTGTTTTGCAAGCTTATTTACTAAAATGAACATGTTCTATGTGAAAACATATCCTGATTCGGCCCATAGGAATGAGCTTTTCATCACTTGTGACTAAAAGCAAAGACGTGAAAGTGATTTAATCTTAGACATGTCATTTTTGTTTTTCCAATTGTAAATGTAATATAAATATGCTTCAAATAATGTTGATAACAGACTTCTACAATTGGAACCGCGTTTTGCTTAGATACTGTGATGGAGCTTCCTTAGCTGGCAATTCCAAGTATGAAGATGGGGTAAACGACTAAATGCATTTCAGCTTGATTTCTATTCAGATCTCACAATTCCTGTTACTGATTTTCTTTTCTTTCTGTCTATTTTGTGCATGTTTATTAACATTGTTGGACAGACCAAATCGCTTTACTTTAGAGGGCAAAAAATTTGGCAGGCAATGATTTCTGATCTTCTTCCACAAGGGTTGGCACATGCAGAGAAGGTATATTGCTGAGATAAAATCATAAAATTCTAAGATTAACTGTAAAAATCTTCTTGGTTGTGTAAATGGTAGGCATTATATGACATATACGCGTACTCTGATCTACACTCTGCAGGCTTTGCTTTCTGGGGACTCAGCAGGGGGTTTAGCAGTGTTTCTACACTGCGACAACTTCTCCAGGTCTCTTCCAGGAAACGCTACTGTCAAATGTATCAGTGATGCTGGTTTATTCTTAGACATGTGAGTCCATCTTTTTACTCATGTCCTGTATATTTTAGCCTTCTTTTCCCCTGCCATAATCTATTTTCTGATTTCAGATGATTGTCAATTGTCTTGCAGAAAAGATGTAGCCCACAATGACACAATTAGGTCCTTATTCCATGACGTCGTTTCTCTTCAAGGAGTAGAACAGAATTTGAATCAAGAGTGCACCAGTTCTCAAAGCGATCCTAAGCAAGTATGATATTGCAAACTGCTTGAAATATAATTATGCAAATTGCTTGAAATTTGATCACATTATTAAAAGGTTCTGATATATGGCTCGATTTTTTTTTTATTTATTTTTTTATTGTTTTTTTTTTTTTTTTTTATCAGTGGTTCTTTCCACAGTATCTTCTGAGTTACATCAAGACTCCGTTGTTCATCTTAAACTCTGCATACGATACGTGGCAGGTACTTTCACATTTCTTAGCTTCTGTACAACTGTATCATTTTCATAAACTCATTGAACTTAGGTTGAACTTAATATTTCGAAAAGGTTTTATGGGATTGATTATATGCAGTTTCACAACATCTTGGTACCATCTTTAGCTGATCGGAAAGGAAAATGGAATAATTGCAAGAAAAACGTAACTTTTTGCACTGACAGTCAAATTCAGACACTACAAGGTATAACTTAAAGTGCTAAACCTGTAAATTATATGCAAAAAATCAGCCAAATAATGGACCTAAAATTTCTGAGACCGTATTTCAGATTTTCGACAGAAAATGCTTGAGGTTACGTACTCTTTCTATACACATTCAACAAGGGGAGGAATGTTCATAAATTCATGCTTTGCACATGGCCAAAGTTTATATCAGGAAACTTGGTTTGACATCGACTCCCCTAGAGTCCAAAACAAGGTACTTGAACAGTCTTTTCTTCATGGTTTTTTCTTACATATGAATCTAGATAGTAACTAGTAAGTACATTGTTTCACTAATACAGAAGCATCGCCACTATATTTATCTAATCCCTTTTTTATATTGTCACGGCATATATATGTGAATACCAATCAGGATCATATCACCAAGAACTGAGCCTTAAATCCGGATTAGCCCAAAATGTGAACCGGATTAGCGATGTTGCTTAGTATATGATTTTGCATGCTTAATTCGCGTTTGTTGGGATTTCTGAATTTATCCTTGATGATCAACTAGTAATAATACTAAGTGTATCTTGCAGACTGTTGCAGAAGCTGTAGGTGATTGGTATTTTGAACGAAAGGTGACAAAGTTGATTGAGTGTCCATATCCTTGTAGTGCTTCCTGTTATCATTCTGTACCAGCAGCATAGACCAAGATTTTTACTCAGTGAATTATCAGAGGATTTGGAGAACATCTATACCTGAAGATTGATAAACTTGTATGTACCTGGGCTATTTGATATTCATCACAAGTTTCTGATCAATTTTGTACTTTATTATGACTAAAATTGGAGTAAATTATGTTTGACATGATAGTTAAACTTTGATCAAAGGGTAGAGCAGCACCTTAAGCAATCCAACTTCTTAAGCAACTTTGAGGACATGTATGCATATAACCAAATATACAATACAAAATCTTATGCCATGTTTAGTTCACATTATTTTTACTTATTTTTACGTATTAGATTAATGAGAAATGCGAATTCTTATACGTGGCTGGCCACACTGTGTGGCCACATCATGGGGGATAATTCGTTAGTGTTAGCCCTATACTCTTCACCTTATTTTTGCCTAACTGAAATTATTTTTAGGAAAATTTAGATTTTAACACTAGGAAAAAACCCGAAAATGGTTTTTAACACCAAAAAAAAAATTAATTAATTAATTTTGAACACATTTAAATTTTTCGAAAATTTGATTTTATCACCACTTAACAAATTTCGTCCATGAATCTGTTAAGTGGGGTTTACACTGCCACGTGTCGCTTGTTGGTTGGTTCAAAAACAATTTTATAAAAAATCCTAACACTACCCAGCCACCCTAACATTGTAGGGGTTACTCGGTCACGTTAAAGAGGTTATTTGGTCAGCATTATGGGGTTACTCACTTAGTGTTATAGGGTTTACTTTGTTATTTTATAAGTGGTCACACGATGTGGTCACTGGTCAGCCACACACAAGATGGATTGTATTGGAACCGGTTTAGGACGTGTTCAAATAAGTTAAAGCTAAGGTCCAATAAGTTTTAATATGTATAGTTCAAACCAAAACCTAATACAATTGTATAAACAACTTTATCCTGTCATCATTATTGTGGGACCCACTTTTATTGAAAAAGTTATTGATTTATTTACAAAATTGTCATGTGATAAGCAAATATTGTGTATCTCAGAGATTAACTTGTATTTACCCGATTAATAATATCATTTTATACTAAGGACTCCTTTCTCTCTCCAAAACCCTAGCTTCCATTGTTGAATTTTGAAGGGGCTTCCATCGATTTTAATCGGTGGAAAGCCCCAATCCTTGTTTCTTTATTGTTTTTTTAGGTTTATAATAATGCTTCCTCCTTCTGGGAGGAACTTTTCTCCCTCGACAGAAAGGGTTTCCGATCTTCTTCGAAAGACAAGGGTTTTTCGATCTCATTCGAAAGACAAGGTATATCTCCTCTTTTCGAGGGAGAAATTTCTTAGTTTTGAATCCATGGTAGCAGATCTAATGGATTGTCGTGAAATTATTTCGTTGGTGAAAAAGTTATCAAGTTTTCGAATACGAACAGATGAATCAGAAGGAAATCATCCTCGCGGCTACAAACGATCGTTAGATTGCCTCTCCAACAAGGCTGTAATTTTCAGCGATATAAGCGGGAGATGCTGCGCAGTGCAAGATCTACTCGACGATCGTAGTTTTTATGAAGGAAAATTCTATTTGATTCAATATGTTATGTATTTTTTAACGTAGAATCTCTATTGTAGATGTCGTATGACTTTTAATTAATGAAATATTTTTGCTATTCACAAAAAAAAAAAAAAAAAAAAAAAAAAAAAAAAAATCATTTTATACTATGTAGTTATTTTAGTATTACAATATTATTTTTTACTTTGTATACGTTCACCCAAGCCCGAAGTAACATATCATTAACATTGCAAATCATGTTTATAAAACTTAAATTAGTCCGATGTCTATACATGTATTATTAAAAAAAAAAAAAAAAAAAAAAAAGTAAAAAAAAAAAAAATCTTGCTAGAAACAATATGATAAAACCAAAATTTTGTGAGAAACTACCTATTAAAAAAACTACTCCGTAGTATTTAGCCTGTACGATGTATGGATTAAATTTATTAGTAAAATTTTTTTTATAAAAAAACACCTTTTAAATGCACCATTTTGCGAAAGAAAACCTTTTAAAAGCTTTGTTGTAAAAGAAAACCCAAACAAACATAATTTTTGAGCATAAGGGAGTTGGAAAAATGAACATAAGTTCAATAAAGACTTTAATACTTGTGACTCCATGAAAAAATTATATCTTCCAATATGAAGATAAACCAATTTCAATCACAAGTTTTAAACTTTATGATTCCAATCAACTAAAAATGATTAAATCAACAAAGTTTAACCAAAATTCATGGAATTTAGTAACTCAAAGTTTCAATCACTTATCATAAATAAAGATTGAATCTTTAGTACTTGGAAGCAACAAAGAAAAACTATTTCACACTTAATGCAATTAATTTGCAATTATGTGAAAAAATAAAACCAAACTTTCAAGCACCAATTACTGCCAAGTAATCATGCTTAAAGTGGTCTAAAATTGCATATAAATAAAGGAAAGAACCAAATTCATAACCACCATAAATATGCAATCAATTTTCAAGGTTAGAAACACTTAAAATTTTTCGTCAAAACGAAAAAACCCTCGAAAAATGCATTTCTGGTCGTTTTTTTGGCTAAAAGCAGAGTCCTGAAAGGGTAACACCATTTCCAGAACGCCATTTCCACCCAAAATTCACTATTTTTGGGTCAAAATCTGGGTTCGGGAGCTGAAGACAGCTCTAATACGAGGTAAAAATTGGAAAAACGAGTTACTAATCTAATTAACAACTTAAAACAAGAAAAATTAAGCCATAAAAACACCTTGAAAATATAATGATTTTAAAAATAAACGAGCGAGGCTCCGATACCGCTGTTTGGATTTGGTGAGTCCGACTCACCGCGGAAACAAACCCAAAAACAAGACCGCACTCGCAATAAATAAAACCATACACATAATTATATTAATCACAAGATTAAGATAAGCTAATTACCTTTGACGCGTGCTTCACTCCAAAATGAGCTCTTACTTGAAAGCTTCAAGTCCCGCTCACACGGAGACCTCCAACGAAGTCCACCCGCACCAACAAAATCGACTAGGTCCAATGTCTTGGGGTTAGCAAGACCCGACCAATAAAACCCGAGTAATTATATTGAGTTCAAAGGTTTTCACTAATTGTGATGCCTTTTCCAACTCTTACTCAAGCAACATTCCCAATGCCCATACTTGGGTATTTATAGGAAATGATGGGAGTATCATTTACTCTCCCATCAATATGGGATAGTATGATTTTTCCATTTTATTTTAAAGCTAAAATAAAATTAATAATCAAGCTAGTAATAAATCAACAAGTGGCAAGCTCATGTGAGTGGTTAGGTGAGGACCACTTGGAGAAGGGGGGGACCAAACTTGCTCCCCACTCCCTCTCCCATAACCGGCCACCTCACTCCACACACACTCAAGGACAACAAGCCACATAGCACCCACCCTTGGGCACCAAGGCAGCCAAGGTGGGCTTCCATGTGCTGCTGTCCATGGCAGCCAAGCCCAGCAGGCCCAGCACTCGCATGCGGGCTGCCAGGCGCTGCTAGTCAGCAAGCCCAGCATGCTTGTGCGGGCTTCTACTGGCCTTGTGCCTTGGCCAGCGCTGCTAGGCGGCAAGCAATGGCCTAGCCATGCTGTTGCTAGCTGTGGCGAGCTGGCGCGCCTAGCGTGCTAGCTGCTGCAGCTTGTTGCTGCATGGCTTGCTAGCCGTTGCGCGCACAAGGTTGTGCCTAGCATGCTAGCACGCACTAGGCAGCGCCTAGCCTTGCGATGCTAGCATGGGTGCGCTAGCACGCACCAGCCAGCCTAGGCTCGGCTTAGTGCGCATGCCAGCCACCATGCTAGGCCATACGCCCTTAGCACTCGGTTTGCTTGGGCATTCCTATGCTAGGGTTATTTTGGTCTTTTGTTGATTTATTACTATTTCTCGTCTCGTCTTTCACTATTTTTCGACTCGACTTCCGACGCTCGGTTTCGACGAACTAAGCTCGAATTTCCGACGTCTAAATAAATATTACTCGGTCGACTCATTAATTCCTTCCGAATTAATTCGTCGGTTCGGTTTGTTGAATGCTTGGGTGTGACCCGAAGGGTTCAGTCAAGATTAAGCTGTAATATTAATTATTCATTAATATTACTAATCGGAAGCGGCCTCCACCCAGGCATTCCGATCACTTGACCTCATTGAATATATTAGCTTTCTAATAATTCTGAACCCACTAACGGAATAGTACACTTGTTCGAAGGACACCATTCCTTTCAAGGCTAAGGTTTCAGCATTTTTCTTTTCAACCTTTTTTATTTTCTTAATTCTTCTCTCCTTGGCCTCTTGAGCCTTTTCCTCTCTCAAACGAAGAATCTCTTGTTGAAGTTCTTCGATGGTTGGCATTGTTGTTGGACTAGGATTAGTTGTCGAGGAAAAGTGGTTTGAAAGGGATTGATCTTTTGGTGGTAAACGTAGAATGCGAGTGACCGGGGGTCCTCTTTCCCAAGCTTGGAAACTGGCCCTAAAGGTTTACAAAAGGATAATTAAATCGGTACGCTTGTTTAAAAAGGGAAAAACAAATAAAATAAAGAAGACGCAAAATATATTCAAACGAATAACACCACCCTTAACAATTCTTCAATGAATACATTGTTCGGACAAGTCAATTTGTTTTTTGAGAAATCAAAATTGACTCGTCCAATGGGCGCATGCAAGTGACTCAGTTGCACGCGGTTGTCACGCGCAACGAAATCACTTGCGCTGGGAGGGGTCGCGCAACTCATTGAGTTGCGCACACCACCTGCTCGTAGAAATATTTTTTTTAATTCGAGTGTTTTTTTTGTCATCGTTTTTTTTTTATTCGATTTTTTTTTTGACTTTTTTTTATGCTATCTTTTGAATATGACACTAAATCACGAAGAGACACTTCGTAATTGGGAACCTAGACCAAACTAAAAAGAGAAAAAAAAAAAAAAAAAAAAAAAAAAAAAAAAAAAAAAAAAAAGAAGAAGAAGAAGAAGACTATCCTAACACGCTGCATATAGTCACATAATCACATAAGCATGCTATAAGTCAAGATTCACGCAATGCCTTCTAAGGTCAAAAAGGCTTGGGTGTCCAAAGGTACCATATCTTAAGAAACGACGCACAAATCAATCACTCAACGTGTTGACTCATGGCATCGCCCTCCCAACATTTTGTTGGCGATATGGGTGGGATGACTGTTATTGATTTTAGGATAGAAGCCTAGTGTTGGCGACCCCTAGTCAATGAGCCAATCCCCAATGGTTTAAGTGTGTTATGCTTATTCTTGATG